GCAGTTCATTCCACAATCAAACCACCCTCTGTGTGGAAAAAGTTGCCCTTGGGGTCCCTTTTTAAATCTTTCTCCTCTCATCTTAAATAATGCCTCCTAGAAGGATGTTGCCAGGGTTGGAAGATTTGACTGGGGCTATTTTCCCTGGAGCATCGGAGGCCGAGGGGTAATCTTATAGAAGTTTATAAAATCATGAGGGGCATGGATAGGGTAAAGAGCCAAGGTCTTTTTCCTGGGGTGGGGGAGTCCAAAACTAGAGGGTGTAGGTTTAAGGTAATAGGGGAAGGATTTAAAAGGGACCTAAAGGGCAACTTTTTCACGCAGAGGGTGGAGCATGTATGGAATGAGCTGCCGGAGAAAGTGGTGGAGGCTGGTACAGTTACAACATTTGAAAGGCACCTGGATGGATACATGAATAGGAAGGGTTTTTAGAGGGATATGGGTCAAATGCTGGCAAATGGGACTCAATTAGTTTAGGACATCTGGTGGGCATGGATGAGTTGAACTGAAGGGTCTGTTTCTGTGCTGTACATCTCTTAATTAGGGACTTACCCCACTAGGGGAAAGACCTTTGCTATTCACCTTACCTGACACATACCGTAAGCAGAAATGAGCATAAATTATGCAAAAAAAAAACCCCAGCAGATTCAGTATTCACTCCTGAACTCTTTATTCCTTCTTTGATCACTAATTCCTTAAAGGATAAACTGGCAGCCTAACACACATTGAAGGTTTTCAAAAGGATTCCGTGATGGTTTAAGTAGTTCTCATATCTTGGAGAGCAGTCAGCATGGTCTTGGATATAATCGGTCACATTTTAGAAGTCTGATAGATTTTGATGGATTATCTCGATTTTTGAGACCGATTATTTTTCAATTTCCAGTTTTAATGCTGTAGAAGAATTACCAAGCAGCACAAGCAACCCTCTCCCACCTAACCAGGGCAGGCATCTTGAGTTGCTTTGTCTGTTTCTTGAGATTCAGCAGCGGGAGTCCTGCTGTGACACAGGCTGCTTCCTTTACTGACTGTGCCACGAAAACGCTGTTAACAACAAGAGTGAAACAGCTGAGAGACACCCACACACGGAGCAAACCCTGCCAACAGCTCTTCAAAGGCAGAGTTTCCCTGCGGCAGGTTTCCAAAATATCACTGTGAAATCGGATTGCGGGCATATTGCCTTTTGTTCCCTTCGCTATGTAGTTGTAGCACACTGTCATATATTGAGCACTTTACAGTGTATGAACCTTGTATAATTGTGTGTAAGGTTACTGTGTGACTTGTAAACAACCCTGCTTACTTGTTCTGGTGAGTGCTCCTAAATTGAGAAGTTATGGTGTGATTGTCCACATGGATATGCTTCTAATGCTGTCAAAGGGTGGGCATTTAACAAGGTCAACTCACATTGTATGTCTGAGGTAGGGAGGACGAAATGGTGCTTGTTTAAGAGTGAATTCATCTGGTTCGGTAGCTGTTGCATGTTTTAACCGTACCAGTGATTACCCTGTATTCTGGATACCTTCAGAGAAAGGATGGAGATTGTGAGGTAGAGCTGTTGGGAACAACAAAGATTTTGGAATGGGCAAGCCATGGTGCAGGGGGATGTGGGGGAGCAGGATGTGAAGGTAATGTGAGGATACGACTAGGTAGGAGCAGGATTTGTGATAGAGAATTTGTCAGTTGACAATCGCAATGTTTGTGGAGAAGAAAAGGTGGCCCTAGTGCTTGTCAACAGGCAGGTGAGGCGTGTGGGGGTGATTGTGAATGGGCAGAATGAGGGCACTGGCAAGAGTGAATGGATAAAATGATGGCATGGGTGAATGAAAGCAGTAACAATTGTAGGTAGGATAATGGAAATGCAAGGGGGATTGGGAATTGGATGATTGACAGGAATGATAATGGGACTGGTAAAAAATAATTGATCACTGGAGAGCAGAGAGTAGCAATGTAATTTGTATGTGTGCTTGAAGGGAGTCATGGGAAAATTCTGAGGCAACTTGACTAATGTCAGTGCTTTTACCAAATTTGGATAAGATGAAGGGTGAACTTTCTATACTATGTACATGTCCATTGTCCAATGCAGAGGAAATTGAAAACAAATGTTCTGTTTACTTTCAAACATCAACATTCTTTTTTAGTTGTTGAAACCTACTTGTCTTTTTGTTGAAGGTGAATTCTCTAGTTGTGGGTATTGCTGTCAAGGGCACTCTTTGTTTCCCATCCCAAGTTAGAGTCGCAGGTACTGGTTGGCTTTCTGTTGAACCTTTGTACAGTCTGTTTTGGAGTAATGAAGGGACTCCCCCAGTGGTTTAGAGAGGGAGTTCCAGGTTTCTGATTCAGCAATATTTATATATTTCCATGATGGGATAGTGTCTAAATTAAAGAGTGCTTGTTTCTTTTCCTTCAGACTGTTTTGTTCACATTAATGGGGAAGAGCTCCGTAAGATGTGGACTGGTATTTTGAACTCGTTTGTAGGGAGGAGTGCTGAGTGAATACTTGTATCTTACGTGTACAAAGAAGTCCCGTCTATTAAAGTACTCTGTGCAATATTACAAAGTGGTGCAAAGACTACAAGGAACCAGAACAGAAAAGTTATGCATATCAAGAAAGAGTGAACATGCTGGATTTTGTTCTAGAAATAGATGATTGAGGGGTTGCCTAACTGAGATCTTTTACAATAGAGGAGTGGTTTGATAGGGTAAATGTAGAACATATATTTCCATTTGGGGACATCAAAACTAGAGAACGTAAGATCCTAATGAATCTAACGGGAAATTCAGGAGAATCTTATTTACGCAGAGTATACCATTTGGAGTGGTTCAGGCAAATAGCATGAGTGGCTTTTGGGAGATGGTAGACACGTAAGAGATAAAGACCTGGATTTTCAGAGTTTCTGCTTTTAAAAATGGCAGGTGGGACCTGGATGTGGAAGTCTTGCCCTGTTTCTGGCAAATCCCATTTTCATTGGGAGGAGAAAGGAAACAGGGACTCACTCACATGATGGAAAGTCAGACTCAGTGGGGCCATTTGAATTCCCTGCTAAGTTCAAACATACTCCATTTTTCTGTAACAAGGATCTTGTCGCACAGTCGGGGAGCAAAATGTTTTTTGAGTAAATGTAGTGGTATTGAAGGGTGAAGAAGAATTTTACAACTGTTGAGCTGTGAAATTATTTAAATCCCCAGCTCTTTGTAAAAAGCCTGCCTTTGTCAGAAGTTAAAACATAACTGCTTTATCAGTACCATTAGCTGTTTGTCAACATTACCCTAAGGACTGTTTATGAAGCTTGGCCGCTTTCCCCAACCTGTAATTAATCAGCAGGAGTACTGACAGCACAAGGAGGTTATCAAAGGATTAGAATGTCTTTGGTGATGGTTATGGTTTGGCTGAGTGGGCGGAAAAGTAGCAGATGGAATTCACTCTGAAGAAGAGCGAGTTTATGCATTTGGGGAGGCAAACAAAGTATGGGGATACACAGTAAATGGGAGGTTGGTGAGAGGGGTTAGATTTTGGAGGTATCCTGAAAATGACAGGGCAGGTAGGCAAGGTGGTAAAGAAGGTATGTTTTCCATAATGGGGTGCAGGATAAAATGCTGAAACTGTACAAGACACTGGCTAGAGCACAGCTGGAAGTTTGTGTTCAGTCCTCACCATCTCATTACAGAAAGGACAGAATTGCCCCGGACAGAGTAAAGCACTAGGATGTTGCCAGCATTTGAAAATTGTAGGTATGAGGGGAGATTAGATAGACTAGGGTTGCTTTCCTTAGAACAAAGGAGGCCAAGGGGTGACTTAGTCGAGGTGTACAAAGTAATAACAGTCTTGGATGGAATGGAGAACACAATAGCCAGGGGGCGCAGAATTAAAGTGATTGGTGGAAGGATTAGAGGGGACAGGAGGAAAATCTTTTTCACCCACATGGTGGTGAGTGTCTTGAATTTGCTTACCATTTGAGTGGTTGAGGTAGAAACCCTCAATATGTTAAAAAGCCAGTTTATTCAGCTGGTGCTGACCTGATGGGCTGAATGGCATCCTCCTAATGCTGTAATTTCTCAATGGTTCTATGAATAGGAATTTGTATTTATACAGGAATAAACACTTGGGATATAAACGCTGGACTTCCATGAATGGGAGTTTTTTTTTAAATTTAGTGAAGACTATATTAGATATTTAGAACTTTCTTTCATTTCATCTCAACATGGCTCTTGAGGTCTGTCCATGTTGGTACTGAGAGTTGATTTGGAGGGTGTCAGGGCCAATTGTGATGTGTCGATTGGCATTATTTGGCAATAGGTTGATAGAGAGGGTATAAGGCTCTCTGGAGAGGCCATAAGTTGGCATGGAGTGGGTGAGGCCCAGAGGGAATACAACATAAGGAAGCAACTGGAGCAAAGTTGCAAAAATCTGAGGTTAGCCTTTTAACCAATTTTTAACACTTGGCAGCCCTTGTGGCCACCTCTGATCTGTGCCCACAGGTGGGCCTGCCTCCATCCCATAACCCTGTCTAACCCCAAAACAAAAAAGAAATAAAGTACTGTAAGTGCTGGCAATCAGGAACAAAAACAGAAACTGCTGGAAAAACTCAGCATCAGAAAGCAGAGTTAACGTTTCGGGTCCAGTGACCCTTCTTCAGAACCAAGTCCAGCAAACTGGGACATTCCTTGACTCTCACGACCCACCTCGGGAGCAGAAACCTAAGCCAAAGGAATAGTAATATGCAGACTGAGTTAGATGAAGTAGTGATGAGGGGAGTGTGAAGAATAAATGTTATCATGGCCTGCTTGGGCTGAATGGCTTATTTCTGTAGCTGTCAATTCTACATAACGATTGTCTGCAACAGCAAGTGACTGGAGAAGGATTGTCTCCTATTTCTGTTTGCTGCTACAGGTTGTCTGGGTAACACATGTCACATATGATGGTGCTACAAAGATTATAAAGTTACCAGGCTATGTGTTTTCCTTCACTGCAGATAACCAGATCTCATCTCCCTCTCTCGTTGCAGGTCATGCAGGTGGTGCGTGAACAGATAACAAGGTCCCTGAGCACGAAGCCAAACTCTCTGGATCAGTTCAAGAGTAAAGCCCGTTGCCTGAGTTACTCCGAGATTCTGAGACTCCGACAGTCTGAGAGGATGAGCCAGGATGACTTCCAGTCACCGCCAATTGTGTACGTGACTTTGCTAACCTTGGCTTCCCCAACATTCGGGCAGGTTATGTAAGTGACAGTGGGCGGTTTTTATCCAGTGAAGGCCAGGCTTCCTGGGCACTAAGCAGCCCTGGTAATCGGTTTGGTTCATTTAAAAGCCACCTTGCTTCTGCCTTCCCCAGCCCCCACTCCCAAATTACACCACTCAAACAAGGCTGACTTTCATTTCCCAAAAGTATACTTTTAAATGTGCTGTCTGCTTAAAGACTTGAATTGTATTGCACTTTCAGTAATATGCACTATTTGGACTGTTAAGGATTGCAATTTTACGTGTTCATTTTACAGTGACGCTGTGAAGTGTCTGAATACAATTGCAGTTTGACAAGATACTACAAGTATAAATGCCAGGTCAAAGTTACTGCCTGAGGGTTTTTGCTCTGTTTTCAGTCTCTCTCAGAACAATGGCAGGCAGATGTCATATATGGCCATCCCCTATGATGCCTCTCCAGCAGCTGCCCCAGGGTTTAGTGCCTCCCTCAGCACATTGTCCTGAAGCTTGGAATGTGCCAGTCTGCAACATATGGTCAAAGACAATTTCTTGCACTGGAAGACCAGAGAGTATCTCGCACCAAGTTGATGTCTCTTCAGATACAGTTGATGTTTGAATAGCCCATAGAACACAAGAGCCTTGTGGCACAGAGCTGTCAGGATCGTTCTCGAACAAAACTACTGCATCTCCCTCTACACCTTCTTTACAAAGGCACTGTCCATAAAGAGGTGGGCAACATCCTCTTCCTCACCATAGTCACCTTGAGAGAAATGTGTAGAGGCAATTCCAACTGGGCATGTAGGAAGGATCTGACTGGGAAGCCCCCTCTCTCCACCAACCAAGCTATATCTTTGCCAGAACTTACAAAAAATAACAATAAAACATTTTGCCAAATGATTTGGACAGTCTGCTCAAGGAGCCATCCACCAGGGTCCACCATCACTTTGGGTGCTGATTGTTATCTTGTGGTCAGGGAACTCTTTCTGCATTAACTTTATTGCAAGTCAGAGGTAGTGTGCAATGTGTCCAGATCTATCCTTCACCATGAACAGATAGAGCTTCAACAAGTAAAGACACTTGGTGTTTGTTTAACAAGGCTTTACACATAGTGAATGCAGCTATGTAGGAAGGTGGCCATCAGGATGAGGCACGTCTTTCCTCCCCAACTAGGGATCTGTATGCACTGTCCATTATTCATCTGGAAAGATGAAAAAAAGAGGAAGAGAAAGAGAGTTTGGATAAGTGATTTATTGAGGGACTGCTGCAATACCAAGGCAGTGGTCCTATATATGAGGTTGTGGATTAGTCTGCCTTAGTTCATGTGCATGTTACACATCCCATGATGTCCTATCAGCAGAAATTTGCAAACAGAGATCAACCTTGGCAGTCACCTAAATACCCACAGAACCAGGCAAACACTTTAACTGAAGACATCTGAGGACATTCAGCAATAATATTTGAAGAAAAACTAGAGTTTCTCCAATGCTTCTTCGTTAGTACAGTCAGAAAACTGATAAAATTGCATTCGTGCATCTCATTGATGCTTATGAAGTACTTCCAAATGCAATATGGCTGCTGTCTGCTCACCTGACAGAGTCTGCACTGTAAAGTATGCTCAGAAAGCTTTGAAAAAGGTTTTGTGGAACTGCTAGTCTTTTGGATATCATGTCAAGCAAGGTAACCAACAATGCAAATGTCTGACAAAGGGTCAAATTCAATGTTCTTGTAAACTGCATGAATGCACAGTGATGCCATAGTCTAAAATGTACTATCACGTCTGTGAGTTGATCCACGTGTCCTGATCTGAACTTCTCTATTCCAGTGAGCTGCGAGAAAAGATCCAGCCTGAGGTAATGGAGCTCATCAAACAGCAGCGTCTGAACAGATTGTGTGAGGGCACCAGCTTCCGCAAAATCAGCAACCGCAGGCGCCAAGGTACGAGTGTGTTTATTTATCTGCTATTGGTTAGTGCCCTGCATTCTGGGGTTAAAGCCGGGTTTGTGCTTGGATGTTGCTTAAGAGAATCAGTTATTAGTTGGTTATGTAGTGTCGTACCCTGATCTTCTTCTGTGCATTTCTCCCTCTGCAATCTTCATTCAGAAAACATGGCCTTGCACTTTGAAGAATGCTCCCTCAGATCTGCCTCTTCCTGGCAGTCTGTTTGATCCCTCTTTTTTTTTCTCTCTCTCTCTGTCTTTTGCTTTTTTTTCCCACATATTTTCTTTCTCTCTCTGTAAACTCCTTCTGAAGCTGTGTTCACAAAACCTGCTACTCCTAATGTGTCTTCAGTCCCCTGTCTGACTCTGCCACTGTTTGGGGCCTCTTTCGATTTCCTTTTTTCTGAGGTTCCAGCCATCATCTGGAGGAATGAGTGCATTACCATTTCTCCAGACAGGGGCTAAGGCAGTGAGAAGCTCCCTGCAAATACATGATTGATGCCTTTACCCCTTCGCTGTCCTCCTGTCCAGCAGCAATGGAGCCCATGTGTTTGGCTATCCAACTGCCACTGACTGTGCCCACTCTGGATGTTATCCTCAGCATTTTCTAGTTGAAGGTCACTTAAAATGGCAAGTGATGATAATGAGTGCAGCTCAAGGTAGATATCCCCCACACAGGGCACAGCCTGGTTACCAGGTGTCCCCAGAGTCACCACATATCCTTTTACATTGCTCCACTTTGACAGCCCACTGTTTTTGTTCATGTAAACACAGAGCTCTCCCTCCCAACTTTTGTCTTGCCCCTGGGGTCCCGACATTATCATCGAACATGATCTGCCGGGATGCCTGAAACCCAACTGACTGAGTGAAGACATGATGGATATATTAACTAAGGGTTAATTGGTTTGAATGTTTGTATAAATATGGGAGCTACCAATCAGTGGGGTGAGAGTTTTAATGAAGTGCAGCTAGCTAAAGTAAGGCACTCATGTAGAAATGTGGCATTGAATTCTGTTTAAATATGGTTACAGTGTTATACTCCAAACACTGCACTCCCCTTATTGAGGCTATGGTGGTGGTCATTGCCAATAGCTCCCCACTATAGTTGCCTTCCAGGCCCTCCCATCTGTATAACTGACCCCTTTTATATTTCAATTTTCCCATTATTGTCCTTGTCCCCACCTCAACACATGCTTCTGGACATTTCTCGCCCAGTCTTATCTGGTCCCAACCCCTCGCCACAGAGCACCCCTTTCCCTCTCCCTACCACTTGATGTTTGAGTCCCCAGGCCTGACTGCTCTTTACTGCCTGACTGACTTTGTCCAACAACCCAGGGATTAAGCAGACCCCCCAGCTGCTCACCTTGCAGCTTACAGTGGATATCCTCAGTACTGGGCAGGGCCTGGCTGTTGAGTGCCCCCTTAGAGTCTCACCGCATCCTTTCACATTGTTCTACCCAGACAGCCTGTTTCCACTGGGTTTCCTCCTCATGTTCCGCCTTCAACTTTGCTCCTTGCTGCCGCCCCCCCCCACCCCAGACCTGAGACTGACAGTCCATGATACCCCATGCAACCCCACAGGACTGGCCTGAGTCTCCTCCCTAGACTGTGTTTGAATGTATTCCCTGATCGTGACCAAGTGAATGACTGATGAAGTCCCTGGCCTGTGTGCGGGCTGTAACCCTTGACTGACAGCAGATTTCCAACACCTCTTGCACCAACACCACCTCACCCGACACCAGCCCCCCCAACCAGCCCCCCCAACCTGCCCCCCACCCCCGCGCCAACTCACCCTTGATGGAGTACCACCCCCCACATACTTTCACACAGGACTGTTTGTTTGAAGCAATGCAGTGGGTGTAGATATGAGCTTGATCTAGCACTTTGCTGTACAGCAGACTGTCCAGCCCCTGGACTGATCAGTACTGACAAGCAGCTGGCACTGTGGCTGCGCTAAACCAGCAAGTCCATTTTGACAGTACTGAGTGTTCATGCTCTGGCTGAAGTACCAATGCGTTAAAAGGAATGGTACCACAAGCTGAGCAAGGCAGGAATGCAGGTATGTGCTAAGTGAGTGAGTGCTAGGAGAGCAAATGAGCAGCACTGAGACGCAGAGATAGTAGGAACTGCAGATGCTGGAGAATCCGACACAACAAGGTGCAGGGCTGGATGAACACAGCAGGCCAACCAGCATCATAGGAGCAGAGAGGCTGACGTTTCAGGCCTAGACCCTTCATCAGAAAAGGGGGAGGGGAAGGGGGTTCTGAAATAAATAGGGAGAGAGTGGGAGGCGGATAGAAGATGGATAGAGGAGAGGATAGGTGGAGAGGAAACAAACAGGTCGAAGAGGCGGGGATGGGGCCAGTAAAGGTGAGTGTAGGTGGGGAGTTAGGAAGGGGATAGGTCAGTCCAGGGAGGACGGACAGGTCAAGGGAGCGGGATGAGGTTGGTCGGTAGGAGATGGAGGTGCGGCTTGAGGTGTGAGGAGGGGATAGGTGGGAGGAAGAACAGGTTAGGGAGGCAGGGACGAGCTGGACTGGTTTTGGGATGCGGTAGCGGGAGGGGAGATTTTGAAACTTGCGAAATCCACATTGATACCATTGGGCTGCAGGGTTCCCAAGCGGAATACGAGTTGCTGTTCCTGCAACCTTCGCATCATTGTGGCACTGCAGGAGGCCCAGGATGGACATGTCGTCTGAGGAATGGGAGGGGGAGTTGAAATGGTTCGCGACTGGGAGGTGCAGTTGTTTATTGCGAACCGAGCGTAGGTGTTCTGCAAAGCGGTCCCCGAGTCTCCGCTTGGTTTCCCCGATGTAGAGGAAGCCACACCGGGTACAGCGGATGCAGTATACCACATTGGCAGATGTGCAGGTGAACATGTGCTTGATGTGGAAAGTCTTCTTGGGGCCTGGGATGGGGGTGAGGG